GTGTGTGTGTGTGTGTGTGTGTGTGTGTGTGTGTGTGTGGCAAAGAGAGCGGAAGTGAGAGGGTGAATGAAATGGAGGCACTTGTGTGGTGCTTGGCAAAAATGCTGCAAGTTTCAGTCCATCAGTGAAGGTAAGTGTGTGGGTGGATGATGGCGCACATCTTTCCCCAGAAAACAGGTTCTGTGTCTACAAGTGGGAGTCAGTATGTGTGTGTGCGTGCTGAGTACGAGTCAGATTGCCTACAGGCTATCTCTATGACTCTCCACAAACTGTAGCTTAGCACAAGCACACATATGCACACGTGCAAGCGCGCACGGTGCAGAGTCTGTATACAGTACATGAAAGCCATTGCTACATCGCTAGGCGAGAGAGCAGGGTAAAGTGCAGTTTTTGTGTAGTGTAATGGAGACCATATGTTAATGCTGATTGCACACTACAACCTCCCATCAGTCCCTGCAGTTAAACTGTGGCCAAATGTTAATTCTAGGCTTAAAATACACGTGTGAGTCATTATACAGCACGTGGAGACTCACCCTGTGCCAAACCAACACTTGTCGTGTATCAATGATACTTTGAGTATATTTTCCACCTTTTATTTAATGTGGATCAGACGCATAACGCCAAATACTTTTGCCCTGGAGAGCTTTGTTCCAAGGCTGCTAAATATAAGTCTCTCAAACAGTCAGCAAAAGCAAAGTGAAGGGGAAGGAGAGACCATGAGAGTTCAAGCACGACACAATGAGAGAAAGAGGAGGAAACACAAGAGACAGAGGTACCAGAGAGGGAACAAGGGAAAAAAACAAACCTCAAGAAGAAGATGAAGGATGAAGCTGGAGGCAGAGAGGGAGACAGAGAGGCTGTCCCATGCCGTTCGGTTGCCGATCGCTGATCCAAGTTTGTTTGCTGGTGTCTGTTAAACCTTGGGAAGAGCCTTCATGCATACTACAGCTCTGAATGACAGAAAGATGGGGATTGGGCCGAACCAGGGAGACAGACCATATAGTCCAGTCAAGTCATGAAGACAGAGCCCTTGATGAACAATAAATACTGCATTGTGCTGCCATTTCTTGAGAAACTGATGGTGGATGTGGTTAAAGCCAGTTAGTGGTTGTACATTTTAAAGGTTTGTGCAGTTAAACCTCGGGATGAAGAGTGATAATAGTCAGACTTGAAGACAGTTAGAGTTAAGGCAGATGCACATACTGTATCAGGTGAATGTCACTGATTCTCTTCTAGAGGTCAAAGATCAGAAGGAAAGGAAATTGTGCTCTGTTGTTGGAACTAATTTTATCTTTTATCGACATTTAAATGACCAAACGTAGATGACGTTAAGAGAAATTCAAAGAGATGCTTTACTGGAGTCTGGAAGCAGAAAGACGCAGGAAATTGTTTGGATGTGTTCACAACAACATGAATATGTCTGGAACACTCAGGACTGGGGTGGTGCTTGGATAGAAGATGCAGGAGGCAGGAAATGACAAATAAATTCCGCTGCAGAAACCAAG